GTGCTGTCCGAGCACTTTGTGCAGAGCGAGTGGTGCAAATACGAGCTGGACTTCTCGCACTTCCGCCTCTTTGACGAGAACAACGATGCAGCGATTCTCGTCCTCCTGGAGCCCATCCAGAGCAAAGCGATTCCCAAGAGGTTCTGCAAGCTGCGGAAGATCATGAACACAAAGACCTACCTGGAGTGGCCTCTTGAAGAAGAGCAGCAGGAGATGTTTTGGTTTAATTTGAAAATAGCTCTAAAATCCTAGACAGGGACATTAAAGAATGAATATGTAGCAAATGTACTCTGGATTTTTTCCCTTGCCTGTTAATCCCATCACCTATCTGTACGTTGAGAATAGAGAGCTGAGCTACTGTAAATTCTATTACTTGCTGTGAGATTATTTTGTTTTTGTAGCTGTGCTCATGAATAATTTTACTGGTTTGGACTGGAATAGAGTTAATTTTCTACATAGTTGCTCCTGTGGTGCTGTGGTTTGGATTTGTGACCAAACCAGTTTTGATAACACAGGGATGTTCTAGTTATTGTTGAACAGTGCTTGCACAGTATCAAGATCTTTTCTGTTTCTCGCGCTGTTGTGCCACTGAGTAGGCCATGGGTGTGTGATAATTTGGGAGGGGACACAGCTGATCCCAGCTGACCAAAGAGATGTCCCATACCATATAATCTCATGCTTGGCAATAAAAGTTGTCAGAAAGAAAGATGAAGGGAGGACTTCTGGAGTTAATGGTGTTTGTCTTCCCAAGTAACTGTTATGCATGATGGAGCCCTGCTTTCATGGAAATGGGTAAACATCTGCCTGCTGATGGGAAGTAGTGCATGAATTCCTTATTTTGCTTTGCTTGCGTGCAGCTTTTGCTTTACCTATTGAACTGTCTTTATCTTAACCCATGAGTTTTCTCACTTTTACCCTTCCGATTCTCTCCCCTGTCCCACTGCGGGGGGAGTGAGCAAGCAGCTGTGCAGTGCTGAGCTGCCTTCCGGGGTTAAACCACAACAATTGTCTACACACATTAATCAGCAGTGTTAACAAAAGCTGTTTCATTTAAATATTTAATGATGAAAAGTTCTTTAGATATACAGCTATGTAGTTTATATATCTTTATATTTGCAAAAGCTTTAGGAGAGAGCCTGCCTAGCCAAGGGTTCTTCTGCATTCTTTGTGTAAACCACTTCTAATCAAATGCAATACAAGTCAGTTTATGCAGCAAGGCTTTTTGTCCTAGCTCTCCTAGTTAGTGGATCTAAGGACTAATTCTCAGCAGTATTTCACAATCACTGTATGTTAAATGTCCAGATCTCCTGTGGATTGTGTCTGCAAGGCTTAATGTAAAAATGTGCTTTCACACTGCAGTTCTGGCTGTTGTATCATGTATATTCTATGGCAGACAACTTTCTCGGTGAAAGACACCTATGGAGGATGATTTCTGTCTAGTTTCATTGTACCATATGTGGGAATAGATGCTTCAGAGTAGGGTCCAAATACTCCTCTGACTTGCTCAAATGGAGTTTAAGCTATTCTCAGCTAGAATGTGGGAAACACTAATATATAAGTAGTCTTTGAATCCAACACCTTATTCGTCTCTCTGATCAGCAGCATTAGCAGAGGCCCTAAAAGGGTGTTTCCTACCTTTCTGCTCTCTCTGTAAATGTAGTCCACAAAACCAGAGGGGGTAGAGAGCATCCCACCTCAGACACTGTGTTTGCTGTCAGCTGGGGCCATGTTTTCTTGAGAAGATTGCTGGGACAAGGCCTCTAATTGCTGAAAAAGTGGAGTAAATGGGAGGCACTGGCACCAGGCTCTTCCTTCAGAGATAATTTAAAAAGAAAGGGTTATCTTGGGTGATACTTGCCTTGCAGCCACAGGAAATTTCAGATGAACCCTAACAGCTTGAACCTGGTAGGCCAGAGGGACAACTAACTTCTGGATAGGCACAGTGTAGGACATTTCCAGGCATGGGCAGAAGCAGATCTTAAAGGCCTTCACATGGAAACACCTACAGGATTTGGCTGTATCTGTGATGAGATCATGTCCAAGTTAGTGTTTTTATTGTTGCATTTTGGTCTTGGGCATCTAACACATACAAAACCTCTGTTCAAACACCTCAATAATTGTAATTGAGTTGGCACATTGGAAGTCTCATCTCACAACTAGTTACCTGTCACATTACTGCTTTTAGGAAGTTCTTCTCCACACAGCCAATGTGTCAGTGAGAGCAGAAGTCCCCCTGTCCTTTGCTTGCCATTGAGAAGTCCGAGGACAAATATTCTTCCATTACACCCACAATTAGGCAACTCTGACAGTGTAACGCAAATGAATGCTTTATTTATGCATTTTTGCATATATGAATACAGGCATAACTCATTATAAGAATTAGTAACTTTGCTACTTCATCTAAGCAAATAAAGCCACCTTCTATGTACTTAAGATTTGCTCTTTCTTTCATTTACTTAATGTTTTTTTAATTGCATCATTTCCTATTTTTAGCATCTAAACTTCACCTTCATCAGTAGATGGCTTCACACAATCTCTGCTTTATTCTCATATATATATTAAAGTGTAAATTAAGCTAATCTGTATTTCTGATTTCTAATAACAATGTAAAGATTCTTAAAGTACTGACCATATTTCATCTGAGTTCGAAAGCTACTTCAGCTAGGCTAGTTACCTTTTAAGACTAGCTTCTCTGACTCCTAAGCAGAACTGCCCATTCTTGCATAAACATGCTGCGTTTCAATTACTCACAATGTGGCCAGCGTAGTATACATGTCAAACATTCGGCTGCTAAGCAGCAAGACTTATGCATCCATTTTGATCTGGGTTGTTTTTGTTGTTGTTTTTTTGTTAGTTTGTTTGTTTTTTAAGGCAATAGTAACATATGGAATTGGTGGTTAGGGATTGTAACTTTGTCCTCTGGTGTTTGAGAAGCTGGTTATTGGAAGTTGGACCTTTTGAGCATAGTGACAGTAAGTCAAAGAGGACTTAATATAGGACCTCCACATACAGGCCAATCTGACTATCAAGCACACCATAAATGTTGCCATGGTTAGTGCTTTTCGGAAATGGCCATTGGAAGATGTACAAGTTACAATACAACAGCTCTTGAAAGAGGTGAGGTAAAAAAAAGCTAATGGTGATCTTGTATTACCTGACATTAACCAAATGAACAAAATGTTTGAGTGCCGTTTTTCAGAATTTGCTGTACACAAAGCCATTATTTGACTTAAAATTCTCCTTATCTGCTGCACAATTTTCTGTAGTCAGAATTTCAACTGGAAGCGACTACAGATATATTTAATAATGAAACAAACTTAAAATATTTCTTTTCCCTTTTCAGGGAATATTCATTCTAAGAAATAAGTCCCGTCCCATGTGTCCCCCCTCCCCCCCAGCGCAACCTTCCCATTAAAGGCAGCGATTTCTTTTAATTCTTACTTTGAAAAAATAAAAAATGCTTTAATAGCATGCTGTACAGTCTTACTGTAATGCAAAAAGAAGCACTACTCTGCAAAAGGGTGTATAGCATACCAGAGTTCAACCAACTGCTATTTTCTCTAGTCTTTTAAAATTAAGTACAGAATATGCACATTATTGCAGACAGGTAAATATCACACTTAGCATTCTCACTAATGATCTGAGTCCTGTTTTAGAGCCAGTGAGTAATTAATGCCTTGGACGATGCCTATAACAACTGATTGCGAAACCACCAGATAGTAGAGCCAGTCCAAAAGTCATCCATACAATATGTGTGCATTCCTACCTAATCTGTTGTTAAGGAAACTGGAGACAAAATGCAACGATAGGTAAATCTTGGTGTTTTTCTTAGCCAGAATCAAAGAAAAAGTATTAGGTTAAAATTTTGAAATGCCTTCTTTTCAATTAACAAATTAAATATGCTTCCCACGTATGGTTAAATTGGGCTTCAAAAAAGTAAGCCAAACTTTGCTTCAACTCAAGCAGGTTTCTACAGATGCAGCATCAGATCTTCAACTATTATTACATTTGCTAAAGGAAAAATGTTGTTTACTAACACTAAGAGAAGGGGGAAAAAACAGCACTTGTTCTGAAAGTGGATTATATCAATTTTGTTATTGCATTAAAGAGCAAAATCCGCTGCGTGGTCTTTCTAAAACTGTGATTTACATTCTTTAAAATGTTCCTCTCATTATACAAATGATTTCTGGATGTCTTAAAATCAAGAAGGAAAATATATATGCACTTTTTTTTTTCCTAGCTTGCTTGGGGTCTTAGATAAGATAAAGCCAAACAGAGTTATTATCTTCCCTAAATATAATTGTTCCTTAATAATAATCGGTTTTCCATTTATTTAATATGGCCATCTCATCCCTCCACTGCAGATCAAAACAAAACAAGAATTAGTAAGTAATCAGGCTATGGTTTAGAAAATCCAAATCAAAAGCACACTTGTTAGGGAGAGGGTATGGATTACTTTATTTAACATCCTCTTCAAATCAACTTTCTCAGGGCAGTGTGAGCAAGTCTGGTTTTTGCCAACAATGCCCCAGCCACAGATGCAGGATTCATGAAACCTGGTATCAGGTGCATTGTTAAGGGACCTGACCTATGGGTCAGCATGCCTTGTCTAACCTACTGCCAGGCACACCCACGCAGGCTGTGCACAAAGTACCTGGAAGGCAGATTTAGGCCTGAAACTGCAGGGTTATGGCCACTCTTGCATTAGTTTGTCTGTCAAAAAGCTGCATGGCCTCAACTTATGTCACAGAACTGAAATATATTTCATGGTCCTATTTTTTACTTTTGTGCTATGTTGTTTCTGAATGTGGTTTTGGTTCTCTTTTTTCTTGTTATTTATTGTCATTGTTATTATTTTTTAATGCAGCAGAAAAGAGGAGAAAACAACAGTTCCGTAATTGCATGGAAGAGATACACATGATTACAGGACAGCTGGTAGGTATTTTCGATGATCCTTTCTTCATTTATATCCACAAAAATTTTCTGTGTGCAGACTGCACAAATGTTGTTGGACAAAGTTCTTGTTGGTATGCCACTGATGTTGTAAAACTGTCAAGATCAAGTTTACAGGAAAAAAAATCCAAAGAACAACAAAATATTTGCTTAGAGTCAAGATGCATATACACATTTTAGATGCCATCAAAGATAAGGGCAGCAGGAAAATGGGTACAGTTGTCTTAGTTTACTAGTGCCAGGATGCACAGTTACCAAGAAAGAATTAAAATCTTATTGCTGATGCAAGAACTTTAGCAACTGTCTGCTCAATTTTAACTAACTGGGACATAAGAGAATTGTGCTGACATAATCACCTTATTTGGAAAGGGAAGATAAAAGCTATAAAAAAGAAAGGGCAAGAAAAGTCTTTCACAGACTTTGGGGAAGGAAGAAGCTTGTCTTCCTATGGCAATTAGGAAAGTTATGTAGTCTCTTGCACATAGGGACCTGCCTGTTGGAAACTCCAAATCAGACCCTGGCGTATGTCACTGGCTATGTGGTGGGTTGACCCTGGCTGGACGCCGGGTGCCTGCCAAAGCTGCTCTATCACTCACCTCCTCAACTGGACAGGGGGAGAAAAATACAATGAAAGGCTTGTGGGTTGAGATAAGGGCAGGGAGACATCACTCACCAATTACTGTCATGGGCAAAACAGACTCAACCTGGAGGAAATTAGTCTAATTTATTACCAATCAAATCACAGTAGGGTAATGAGAAATAAAACCAAATCTTAAAACACCTTCCCTCCACCCCTCCCTTCTTCCCAGACTTAACTTCACTCCCAGTTTTCTCTACCTCCTCTCCTCCAATGTCATAGGGGGACGGGGAATGGAGGTTGTGGTCAGTTCATCACACGTTGTCTCTGCTGCTCCTTCCTCCTCAGGGGCAGGACTCCTCAAACTGTTCCCCTGCTCTAGTGTGGGTCCCTTCCATGGGGTGCAGTCCTTCAGGCACAGACTGCTCCAGGGTGGGTCCCCCGCGGGGTCACAATTCCTGCCAGAAAACCTGCTCCATGGGCTCCTCACTCCATGGATCTGCAGGTCCTGCCAGGAACCTGCTCCGGCACGGGCTTGCCATGGGGTCACAGCCTCCTTTGGGCATCCACCTGCTCCAGTGTGGGGTCCTCCCCGGGCTGCAGGCGGATATCTGCTCCACCGTGGACCTCCATGGGCTGCAGGGGGAAAGCCTGCCTCACCACGGTCTTCCCCACGGGCTGCAGGGGAATCTCTGCTCCAGCCCCTGGACCACCTCCTCCCCCTCCTTCTTCACTGGCCTGGGGGTCTGCAGGGTTGTTTCTCTCACACATTCTCACTCCTCTTTCCTGTCTGCAGTTTCTGTTGCACAGCAACTTCTTCCCCTTCTTAAATACGTTATCCCAGAGGTGCTACCACCATCGCTGATGGGCTCGGCCTTGGCCACAGGTGGGTCTGACTTGGTGCCGATTGGCATTGGCTCTGTCGGACACAGGGGAAGCTTCTAGCGGCTTCTTCCCATAGCCCACCCCTGTAGCCCCCCCCACTACCAAAACCTTGCCACGCAAACACAATACAGGCTACTGCTTCATTAAGGCTATTCTTCTAATCATAAGATTGACAAGGGAGTTCAACAGTTTGTCCATGGCACAAGAACAGCTCTCCTCAAGGAAAAGTGAGGTTAGTTTACTGCAAAAGTATCCAGTAGACCTTATTCTTACGAACCCAGCAGCACAAGAAATTCAAGAGCTCACTTCCAGTCCTTGCAAGTCGTATTCAGGATGATGATCCCCAGCACTTACACTGATGTTGGGAGCCATGTAGTCAGAACAAGTCTCTGCAAAGTCTATTCCCATCATTCCATAGTACAGTCCATAAAAAAGCAGTGTCACAGCAAAATCCATGGAGTCATCAGACTCCATTCTGTCATGAAACCACAAAAGGGTACTCAGGTGAGACTGTTCTTGACCAAAACACCAGCATAAAATATCAACAAGATTTTTACTCCAGATAGCTCCTGCTTCCTTCAAGCTGCAAGTTTAGTTTCATTTTCTTTTGCAGCAGCAGACACCCTCATGCTTCAAGTATCAATATGCTTGACAGCAAGCAATGTTGAAAGTAGGCTATGAACCGCTTTTGGAGCCACAGCTACTCAGCTCTGTTATAGGAAGGCCAAGGTGACACATTTTCTTAAAGAAAGGGACTTTGCTTAGAGTCTTATTATACAGAACAATTAGATATATTTCATTGTTTTGCAGAAGCAACAAGATCAGCCAAATCTCCATCAAGTATAAGATGCCAGTCAAAGAAATATTAAGTTTCTGTAGCTGAAAGAGCCCACTGTCCTCCTGAATACAAATTCCTCAGAATAAAATCTTTGCTAAATTACAGCAGGTAGTATTTAATGCCCTGCCCCCCCCCCCCCCCCCAAATTCCAACCCAATAGCGTCTGCAAAAATGTTAACATCTTTTGTCATCTCTCTGAGATTTTGTGTGTTACAGGTCTTGGGAGATTGCAACCTGGCTAACAAATACTCATAAAACTGGAGCTTCTCAACATTAAGAAGGACTTGCCATTTCTGCTGCAACAGGGCACAAAGTAAGAACCTTTAAAATAGAGCTAACAAATTTTGTAGTTATATCTTTAAAACACACGGGGCGCGGAATTTAGCTGGTTAAATAAAATACTTCAGCAGAATAAAGCTTAACGGTATTGGTAACACAAGACTGTTAACTTTCTGCCAAGAATTTTCCATCAGAGCTACGTACTTTTGGGTTGATCAACTATACAATGTATGGGCAATAAATCTGACATTTAAAGGAACAGCTGATTTACGTATGTGCAGTATCTCCAATACCTCCAAGAAATGTTGGACTTAACAGCAGATGCATTATATCGTTGATCTACATGCTCTTGAGGAATCACTGGAATTTCTGGTCACACGGCACCTCAAACGGTCCAGCACAGTAGCTCTGGGCTCCTAGTCAGACAGAGATCCTGGACAAACCGAGGCAAAAATTCTAGCTGGATTAAGAGGTTAGGTCGAGAATCATCTGGACATATGGTATTGTCTTTGGCAATAGTCAAAATAAAAAGCGGAGAACCTCCTAGCAACAATATAGCCTGGTAAAGTGGGAAATCATAATTATCAGAAAGAATTATAATGTGGTTTTGATATGAATGTGCTTATCTATTTTTATCCTTCACGTCAAGCCTTTTTATGTCTCATCTCCTTCAGGTACATAAACTCAGCAGTTAAATTAGGGGATTAAATGAGTCAACACAGTGGCTGTATGAAGTTTAAGTTTTTCCCCCTTCTCTCTTCACACTATGAACACAAGTTTTAAAATGACTAAATGTGAAACTTCAGACTAACTATGCAATAATAAAAATCAAGATGTAAGAGAACCTACAGCTACACAATGTAAAAGGGATTTCATATGTTGAGGTGGGTGGTGAAGAGACCAGCCTGGAGCAATTTCACTGCAAACAAAGTAAAATCTATCAAATAAATAGGAAATCATAACAGTTGCCAGTCCCAATTTTACCTGAAGATACCTACCTAAAGAATAAATTAAATCCAAACAGGGTAAACATTATGGCTAGATAACCCACAATCCCAATTGCATAACTCAGTTTATAGATCAGGAGGAACCATTTGTAGACCAACCTATGGATAAGTAAGAGAAAAGAAAGACTGCTCAAGACCTTGCATATTTTGCAGAGTGCCACATACATAGCTTATACTGAAGTATACATATAAATTCAATAGAAGTTTTACACTTCTGTATTTCTCCCTTACTTAAAGGTGAATAAAAATGTATAATACAGGAAGAAGTACAGGGGAAAAAAAAAACAAACCACCCCTTTTTGTTTTGCTTCAGTCTTCACAAGAAATGGTAATTGTCAACAGATTGCTAACATAATTAAAACTAACAGCTGGGAGTATTGAAGCAGGGAGCATAGACCAGACAGAGGACAAGAACAGGTAAAAAACAACTGAGGTAAGTTAGATATAGTCAAGTCAGTATACCACCAATGAAATTTATTTAAAATACTTAAAAGTTAGGAGAAGCAATCTCTGAACCATTAACAATTGTCTTTGCAAGCCCAGGATGAAAAGGCAGAGTTTCAGAAGACTGGAGAAGAAAGAATACAGACCTCTCTTTGGGGAGGCAGAGGGGGCTCTAAGGAATAAATTCATAGACTATTTGGTATATATACCAAATTGAGCTCTTCAGGCTCAATAGTAACTAGGATGACTGCTGATGGTAAAAGTCTGCAGAATGAAAAACCAAGATGGAACTGATGGAATGAATTTAATTTTAACTGGTTTAATTCTTTTTCATTTGAATGTCATGTTTGATAAACACTGGTTTAGAGGAACTTATTCACACTGCAGTTGGAAGATTCCTTCAAATTCAACTGCTAATGGCCCTTCTTGTAATCTGTGAAGATTTGTTCCAGGGAAATTCTTATTTGCTCTTCTCCTTCTACAGGTTTCCTTTAAGAAACAACACCAAAAAAACCCCAAACAAGGCAAAGCCAACAAAAAAAGGATGTACTGTGGTGTTCTTCCCAAGAGAGGCTTGCAGGTTGCTCTGAAACTGATGTAACTGGTAATAACTGAGACCATTCCCCCCATGGACAGGGATTTCCACCAGTAAAATCTGACAGTGAAATAAAGAAAGATGAACAACCCACATCTGCAGCAGCGTGACTAACTGTTGGCAAAACTGAGACAGTCGTTTCAAACTAATGACATACTATGGTTCCATTTTGCATGGTTGATTAACAGATTGCCAAACTGTAAAACTCATACAAAAAACTGACTTGTACAGCATCTGACACAGGAGGGCCTTTGACCCTGGAATAGCAATGTTAGTCTGCCTTGCGCCCTGTAAATAATTAGTAATCCCACTGGAGTAAATGGTTATAACACTGAGATACAAGTCAGCAGACCCCCACATCCTATCCTCAGAAAAACTAAACTATTGATAGAATTAATGCTACTGAAAAAAACATTAAAGTTTGTTTTCTAACTCAAATTATAAATGGTGACCACAGGGCTAAAAGTTTGGGAGCAAATTTTCTGAAATCGGTGGAGGCAGTTTGGCCTTTAATCCTTGGAACTGCTCTTACAAACTTTCAGAAAGGCACATTTGGCTGCATTAATTTGGGATGCCACTCAGTTACATAACCACGCTACTGAAGGTTTTTCTTAAAAACTCTTTCTACAGTACAGCAAAATGCTGTGGCTTAAACTTTTAAGCCTTTTTTTCTAAATGAAAGTATATTAAACTTAATATGTATATTTCCTTGAATTGCCCACAGTAATGAAATATTCTACTTCTTTTCCAATAAGCAAATATTTGAAACCCACTGAAGAGTCAAAAGCCCTGTAATGTCTGTTCATTCCACAATCACATTAATAAACCATGGATTTGGGATTGTGGAAGCCTGATGATGACAAAGATAAAGCAAGCCTGACTTCAATATGTGTTTGTAGAGTTAGTTCCTGCATCTTTACAGAAAGATTACTGAAAATAAAAAAAAAATCTGAGGGGAGTTGGTTTTCAAATTTGTGTTTGGCTTGGGGAGGGGGGATTTTTTAAAAGCAAACAAAAACCACAATCCATCTAGAGTAAAAAGCTATCTCTATGGAGGATGAATCTCCTTCCTTAACCCAAAAAGTAGAATTCTGAAGGAATGTGTGTTACTCCCTGTGAAACATAACACAGTTTTGCCACAGATTTCAACTGAAGCAGGAGTGGATACTTCTTCTTCTCCTAAGAAAAAGGAGAAACTCTTAAAAAAAATCCCCCAAACCCTAGAAAGCATACAACTATTGAGCAAACTGGTATTTCACAAAACATGTTTAAATAAATTAACAGACAGAAACATGTATAAAAGATAATGACACAGCATTGTTAGATTACATCACTGTTACGCACTTCTCCACCTTGCAGCGCTGGCTTTACAGGACCACAGCCTGCTGCTTGTGACCATGAAAGTGCCCGAGCTCCTGCCGTGCCACGCAGCCCTTCTGGCACGCCACAGGTCAGTGGTCCCTACACATCCCTGATTGCGGAGCCTGAGGTGTCCTCGCCTTCACCTGAGGTCACCAAAGGCTACCCATTGCCTGCCTGCCTTGGCTACTGTCCAGCATGATCCCTCTCCAATTGCTTACATACTGTGGGTTGCTTTTTTTTCAGGAGACTGAAAGTAAAGTCTGAATTTAAGTGGCAAAGCCAAAACTGAATGGGCACACATCTTCAGAAAAGTAGCTACTTTCTAATACAAATCTATAACAGAACTTTATTATCGTGTTAACTGCAAAATGAAATGCTAAGTAATTAAAAAATGGTATCACAACCTTCACTTGGGTGATGTTGTTATCAGATCAATTGGTATAATCGCTTGCAGTAATTGTTTCAAATTTCCTTATTGATTTTTGTCTCTTCCAGGTTGTTAATTTTAATGCTATTACCTCTACATGAAAAGCATTTGTATTTTGTCATGTAAATGAGGACAAAGATAGGAATTGAGTAATACAGATGAAAACCCCAGTACTGATTTATTATTAATACTGGAAGGTCACCATCTGGACAATTCCATAAAATAATACATCTGCATTGCTGCTAAATGGGAGCTTTAACATCTGGATCATATTATTCCAAATTTTCCTCATCCACCCATCATAGCAAGAGGAATTTCCTGACAAATCAGATTGCTGCCCAAAGGTAAAATGTTTTTCTCATTACCGTACTTTAAATGAGCTCAAAAAGACCTAGAAGTGAAGTCAGCATCAGCATCATAGACAACTTTTGCATTTTCTAATTATGCAGATTAATTAGGTCATACAAACACCAACTGAAAAATGTCTATCTGTCCTCTGCTTCCCTCACAACACTTCCCCCATTCTGAGCGAGTAAGAATGCCTGTCACCAGCAAATTCAACAGAACAGCATTACTCCACTATCCTTTCCATCTTATAGCATATGGTGAAAACTGCCTACATAAAGAAAATAACTGTGTAATAATTAGATTTATTGTGAGAGACTGACCTTACCAGAACTTGTTAACTTGGCAATGCAAGCTAACTGCCCCTCTAAAAATCTAGGTTCTTTTGATGTAGATTTTGACATATTCAAATACTCAAAAACATATGCATGGAAGAAGTAATAAATCAGCTGTTTGGGTGTTTTTAAGGTTTAAATTAATATGCTTATACTTGATAGTACATTGGAAATTGGCAGGGATTTCTATATTAAGTAAATCAACCAACCTTATTTTCAAGATTTGCCTTGTTACTTAGGTATATAAATCAATGCTGCCATAACTATGCTGCTTCATTTTTCAACTATATTCCAAAGTAAGTTCTCATATATATATACATACACAAGATACATAATCAGTAAAATGGGCAACCACCTACAGGACCAGAAGTAAGGCTTTTGTCTTTCAGATTGTTCTGAGACCATGACAAATCTGCCTTTCCATCTGTCAGATATTTTAAGATTTCTATTATGCCAGGGGAGAAAAACTTTGTCCACATATATCATATTTCTTTAATTTTCATCAATGGGAAGCTTCCAATGGCAAACAAATTGCATTACAAGAATCAGCTGAGTACCTGATAGTCAGAATTTCCTTTGGGAAAATATGGGGTCAGAACACTAATAAGATTTTTCCTTCCTCCCCCATTTGATATGCTAGACTGCTGGCTTTGTGTTGAGAAAAACTGATAAGATAGGCTAGAACAGGATAGGAATGGCTTTTCAAGGATAGTAATTCTCTGACTAGCATTCTTGCACCTCACTGAGTTAAAGGAGTGCAAAATTTGTGAGTGACATGGAGAAATGAGAGCTGTATCTGAACACAGATGCAAACAAATTGAAAATCAGGTTTTTACAATGTAAATTAGCAGAACACAGGCTCCATATTTATTTTTTAAAATCTCAAATAATGGTAACAAAATTCTCAAAAGTATCTGAGAAACAATCATTTTCTATAATCTGCTTCCTCATCATCTGAAAGCTAACCCCAAACTGTCAGCTACCATCTAGAAGAAAAAAACACAATTGTCAGAGTGGCCTACATTTTATTTCAGGCCAAGACATGCTAGAACCTCTCCCTCTCCCTCTCCCTCTCCCTCTCCCTCTCCCTCCTCTGTGCTGGGATCACACCCATGTTACTTTATACGTAGCCATCTGGTGAAGGGCAATCTCTTCCCTCTTGCCAAAATTATCCACAGCTGAGCCTTGGCTGCCTTGCTGCAACTTTTTTGCTCTTGCCTCTTTGAAATAGGAGCCTTCCCCAACATGCCTTTTTTTTTTTTCTTCAGGAGACAGTTTACATTCTTGATAAGCCTGGATAAGGCTCTTTTGGAAGGTACAGGCTGTTGCTGTTGTATCTAGTAAGTAGTCGCCGCTTTTTATTTTTTTGGTCTTTTTGAGCAAGCTAATGAATGCACTTTCCATTTAGGGCTGATTTTGTGCTCCCTTTGACCTTTGTTTCCTTTTTCTTTCAAAAAGAAACAAAACCTTTCTTTTTTATATGTTTGCAAAGCACTTTGAAAGGGAGGGTGGGAGTCAATCACTGCAATCCTTTGCTTTATTTCTACTAACATGACTGTGCAATTCTCTCTGAGCTCTTACTATGTCTGAGAATAGCATGAGTATCCAGAGCAGGGATGTATACATGCCAACACCCACCATGATCTCAGAGAATCAGACAGAAAGGTTTGTCACCTGATGCTGCCTTCCAAGCCATGATATGCAATGGAGGGCTCGCTACTTGTTTCATTGATCTTTTGGGACAGAAAATAGAAAAGAAAGCGGCTTTTGATTAGAGAAAAAGAGCCTTAGGTTTACCTCTCCCATTGAAAATAATGTGAGCTACCTCTTTGTCTGATCTCCCTTCTCTAAAGATGCAAGTATGTTGTTACAGGCAGGGGAAAGTGTTTGGTTTCTTTTCTTCAGTATTAGACACTGTTGCGCATAACCTATATGCAAAGTCTACAGGCATAAACAAAGTGGTCACAAGCTGGATGGCAAGTAAGAGAAATGTATAAGCAAGCAAAAGTAGAGGGCTGTTTTCTCTTCAGTGAGCATGTGGTTGTTTTTCAAATTTTGACTTCTTTAAATGTTTCCTATCAAATCAAACATGAATGCAAGCATAATAACTGCCACCTGGAAAAACTGTAATGCGGAAGTCTAGACCTGCCTGTACTTAGGGGAGCAGTAAATTTTGTTGTTGTTGTTGTTTATTTTTATGTCACATAGACCATTTCCTATATACATTAACTAAGTTGTTTAAATCCTAAATGTGACCATCTTTTCAGCTTCTGCTCCTAAATCAGGTTTCCTTATCTGATACAACAATGTATACTAGTTATTTTTTATCTATCATGCATAAGGATCTCATTAATCGTTCAGATTTGTATCTTAACGTTTGTCCTATTTGTTAGTCTTCAAAGTACAGTGGATCAGATTTTGGCAGTTACTATACTGGTAGAAATTTGTAATTTTAATATTGCTGCATGACATGCTTTTAAAGAAAGCAAGCTAATGCAATGAGATTGACACTGTGTTCAAAAACTATACAAAAGTATCTGGACATGAAACAGGAGGGCAGTTATATCTTAATACACAAACTTGTAAGTTATTTTGGTGACAAACACTCTTAAGCTACCTAACGTGGAATAAATGCAATAAACCATCTACGGGCAGAGACCCACTGTGAGTAGTGTTCACTATTATGAAGTAACTTCATACACAGATAGATTGTAGGTGTGAGAATATATTACTCTCCCAACTAAACAGACCGTGAAGCGGAACTGCTGAAACTCAGTGCAAAGTGAACTTCAGCTTCTGGTGCTACTATTTTTACTGAAAGAGGCTCTGCTTCAGTTCCTTTTTTACTGGAGAAGAAGGCCTTGCTGCAGCAACGCAGCTATGCACTGAAAACTGAGGCTCCAACATACTTCTGGTGCAGATATTTTGTTTATTTTAAAATGCACTGCAAAAACACAAAGACCATCACAGTCTTATTAAAGTCTTGTGATGGTTGTAGTTGTACTGGAGTCTCCCTAAATTAGACTAAATGCATTTAAAAGTATATTTTTGCCATATTGGCTATGTCACATTGTAGGTGTGACTGGCTCCTGTAAATTAATAGTTGGGAAGGAAGCTTCAGTTGCTGAAGACTAAGTTATGCAAGTAATAGGACTGTAACAACTGTAGGCTATTGGCATTTTTGACAGAGGTTAAGTCTATGTAGTACGCATTAACTAACTTTAAGTACTGCTAAGGAGAATAGTGCCAAAGCAACAGAGTGCATGCTTCTTAGACTCCCACAGGCTTTCCCAGGCAGACAGGGACTTTCCCAGCTGCTCATTATTGTATGCATACTTAGGTTCAAGTGTGTTTCAGCACTGATTCAATACCAGTCTCATGCAAAATATTTTCAATGGGAAACAAAGACATGGACAGTCTAAGTGAATTCAGTCACTTCAGTGTTCTGTTCTTTATTCTAAATGTCTGTTGAAATCAGTGAGGCAAAAATTAATAGGAAAGAAATATTTGAAAAGCTCTGAGCTGAGATGCTAACATGAACATAACATGATTGAATCGTACAGCAGAACTGGTCTAGAAGAGAAGTTAAAGAGAACATAATGGTAAGGTAGTATTGTGTATGATTATACCATACGTACTTAGGTATTGTGTGTGCTCAGGGTTAGGAGTGTGTGTGTGTAAAGGTAGAGAGTGACGTGAAGTTAAAATCCTCAATGAGCTGTTCTACCTGTGACTTCATTAGACACTTCACCTGTATATATGTTGCCATGACGAACATGTCATCACTGTTCCTAACTCTGTAAGTATAGCTGAAGAGCCTGCTTCACAATGTCTGTATTGCAATTTTATGCCACTGTGAAAGTCCACCAAGAGTAAAGCTGTCTGTCGTGGTTTAACCCCAGCCAGCAACTAAGCACCACGCAGCTGCTCACTCACTTCCCCCCCACCCAGTGGGATGGGGGAGGGAATCGGGGGGAAAAAAAAAAGTAAACCTCCTGGTTGAGATAAGAACAATTTAATAGAACAGAAAAGAAGAAACTGATAATGATAATGGTAACAATAATAAAATGACAATAGTAATAATAAAAGGATTAGAATATGCAAGTGATGCACAATGCAATTGCTCACCACCTGCCGACTGATGCCCAGTTAGTCCCCGAGCGGCGATCCCCCCACCCCCATTCCCCCCAGTTTATATACTAGACATGACATCACATGGTATGGAATACCCTGTTGGCCACTTTGGGTCAGCTGCCCTGGCTGTGTCCCCTCCCAGCTTCTTGTGCCCCTCCAGCCTTCTTGCTGGCTGGGCATGAGAAGCTGAAAAATCCTTGACTTTAGACTAAACACCACTTTGCAACAACTGAAAATATCAGTGTTATCAACATTCTTCTCATACCAAACTCAAAACCATAGCATTATACCAGCTACTAGGAAGACAATTAACTCTACCCCAGCTGAAACCAGGACAGTGTCTTAGATCAAGCTGATTTTATATCCCTTACTAAAACTAAAGTTTCTGTAAATTGTATCAAGGTTTCATCCTTTAGTGTTTAACAGACCTGTCAAATCAGGGGGTATGATGCTTCAGAGTCTGAGGAGTAATTGTCAAGAGATAAAGTATTGATCGTGACAGTTATTATTGATATCACTGCTATTAAGAAGCTCAATTACCAAAAATTGGATTTCAATCTACAGGTGGCTTAGGGCACTCATCAGCTGATGAAGATGGAAAAGCTAAGAAGCTGCTTGTGTGCTTAAATTCTGCCTGTCTGACATACCTGTGTAATCCCCATTATTTGTTTAACATTTCCTTAAAACTCACATTGTCTTTTTAAGGACTGGCCCTTTCTGAGATGCCTAACTTTATAAAAAGTATTGAATAGGGAGGTCAGGGGTGGAAATCATGTCACACTAGTTTTCTCAGGTTTGCAGGGAAGCCTGTGGTAGAGGAAAGGAAGTGAGCTGAAGCACCATAAGCCCCAGTTTTAGCACCTTAACCACAAGACAAGCTTTCTCTCTAATTAGGCATGTGTACAAGTAACTTGATGAATAGGGGCCTTGGATTCCCTCAGTAAACCCTCTGTATCATTACTTCAGCTAGGTAAGGGGAGTGATTTTATTCTCCTACCTAGTCCATTATTAGACAGTTGTTTGAAAACTCAAAGCCTTTTCCTTAAAAGCTTTAACCTGCTAAAAACTGACCACAGCATCAGTATGCATACACAGAAAATAAAATACAAGTTGTTTTTTCTTCCTACATAAAAGCTACTCTCCACCTGACCAAAAGCCGTGGCTCACTGTTCTCCACAGAGGCTCAGTTGTTTTGCTAGATGTAAACTCTTAAGAGTATGTCATGACTTCCAATTGTTACCTGAGAAAGATGATGTTTTAACCACTACAGTTCCAAAACTGCTGTCTTTCTGACAAGCTATTCACATTGTATATTCAACAGTGTCTTTGCTTCCACTGAACAAGCACAATCATCTGGGCAACAACCAAGGTTGCAATGAGAACAAGAGCCATCTCCATATGTGTTGCTTCACAGCCATGGTGCTTTGCATGCATCTTCCAATGTTGCAACCTGAAAAGAAAATATGCATGCTATTAAAAAAAAAAAAAAAAAGTAGTCTAGATTGATTATATATACCTAGAGGTGACAGTAAGCCCATGTATGAGAGATACTTTATGAGGAAATAGGTTAATGTTGCTATGCATGAAGATATAACAAACTAGATGAGAATACTTGGTCTTTGTAACTGGAACTATTATCCTGAAAAAGGAAATGTAAAGTAATGGGCAGAGAGTAGTCTTTTTTTCTTTTCTTTTTCTAGTAACTCAGTACTGAATGTAAATACAGTCACAAACACATAGTGCTTATGAATTTTAAGCAGACATTACATAGTCACAGATCTGAGTCCCACATAATCTTTTAGCCCAAGGTAAATGCAGAATCAGAAGAGGGCTTAAAACCCTGTTTCACCTTCCTTCCCTATAAAGTGAGAACTGTAGCTGGCATTTGTCTTCCTTCTAGAGTTAATGAAAGTTTCCTTGAGCCCCAAAGAAATGAGGGAATTGTTTTGGAGCTATAAATCAGCCTCCTTCATAACTAAAGCTGAGCGAGCTTCTGTGTTAGATCGGAGCCTCATGCCTCTGTAGTAAGAATCTTGATCTTCATCTGAGCTTGACTCAAATTAACCTGGATGTTAGTTTTCCTCTGTCCTGGAGCTTTCTGCGCCTACATTTCAGGACTCAACAGCACCTCCTGGCTTCTAGATTGGTGTATGTGCTGAGTGCACCCCAACTGCACCCTGAAATGACGCTGAAAAGACAGACATGCACTGTCTCCCCTCACCTCCCATGCTGTGGTCCCTGTGGGGAGAAACATCATGCATATGGGCTGGCAGGGAGCTGCAGCATGTTCTGGTTGATGCCTGCCCTGCACGATTCACACATCGAGACCTTGTGTCATGGTGGCTGATGGGCCACAGCTACTCTGTTCAGATACAGCCAGTGTTAAAAGAGTTGGGATCTAGATTTGAGCAAGCCCAAAGCTATACGTTGCTGCTATTACTTGTTATCTCATGTTAGCCAAACTTTGAATCCAACTAAAACTTTTGACTTTGCAGAAATCTAGATATAGATTTAAAACATGTGAATCTTTCCCATTCCTTCTTCAGAAGCAAAAGTGCAACAGTAGCCATGCTTTTTTTCCATTTAAAAAGAAATGGCTATGTGATGGATGGTGCACTTAGAAGCCACAGCATTGAAGTGAGTACACATACCAGTGTCAAACGTCTTTCTTCCCAGCTTTATGCAAGTACCACGTCTTCTTTGCCAACAGCGTGCTTGCAAGAAGTACCTCAAAGCAGCTCATCGGTGTGATGCACTCGGTGTCCCGCAGGCTGCAATCAAGGGTGTCCCTGACAGGCAGTGCATTGGTGCCGGGTGCGCTGGCGGGGCAAGCCTACAGCTGGAGGTAGCGTAACTAATGTGCATCCTAAAAAAAGGGAAGGTGGCAACAGGGAGATAATAAGCTTTTCCTCTCGACCCCCACCCCCTAAGCAGGCATTAAAATGATGGTTAAAGGACCATTTCTTTATATTAGACTTGCAAGGACAGGAAGCATTATATTTATTGTTCCTAAAGGAAAACATTGTACTACAACAGCAGTTTCTATAATGATTGCTGTAAAGCTGTTCCCTATTTCATTATGCTGAGGAACTGATTAAACTGACAGAATAAAAAGTTCCAGTAAAACTTTTCAAGAAAAGAAAATTCTTTACTAACTACACTTCTGTGAACAAAATGTTAAAGGTTTCTGGTATTGCTATAAATGTACAATTCATTTAACAAAACATTTGCAAGCAGTATGTAAATTAACTTATTTCCATTGTTCCTCTGTTGATAATAAATCATTTTCCTGAAACCCATTCAAAACAAGTATTATAACTTCACGGTGAACAACAGCCAGATGGTTTTTCTTCTCTTAGCCCTCACCACTCCTTCCGTCCCGTGAGTTGCTGGACATGTTGGCAAGTTCCCTCTGCCCCTCTTGCCTGGAAGCTGCTAAGAAACCTGCAGCTACGCCAAGGATAGCGGTCTCACAATTTCAATGGCTGCGATGTACGATGGGTGCAGCTGATGAATTCCCTCAGGGTGACTGACCAACGGGGACAATGGCATACTCTAGAGGCCTGCACTTAGAGCATAACTTTGGGCGAAAGGGACCTTGGCAGTTATCTGGACCAACCTCCAGTGAAAACAGAGTGAAGGATATCAGGCTGCTTAGGGCTGAGTCCAGCTGAGTTATTAACATCTCCATGGATGGATATTTCGTTGTTCCTCTGGGCCTCCTGTGGCAGTGAATTCTCTTCTTCAATAGATGGGGACAAAGTCACTGCAACAAAATTAGCAAGCTGAGGTTTAAATGAAATATCTCCTAGACCTAATCAAAAAGGTCTAGGTTTGATCTTCCAGCTATTCTAATTAGGCAGCTGTACAGGTACACCATAAAGCCTGTGGAATAGCTTACACAAAAAAGGCTGAAAAGGGGAATTTGAGAGTATTCAATGAAGTGTAAAGGTAGTACTTCTGGTTCCAAACTGGGTTCTATCAGAAAAGGTCATTATCAAAGATAGTGTTTAGTTCTTGTTTTTCCTTCAAAATCTTCCAGTTCTGTAAATAAGTCTTTAAATTTTCTATAAAAATTCTAAAACTCAAGGGGATTTTTTTTCTGATTTTTATGAATGTTTGCTGTTTTTCAGTTGAAATGTCCATGTTTGGTGGTAGTGGTTGTTAATATAACTTGAAGTGTTAAGGTGCCACTTTATGTTGGGTTTTGCCATGTACATCCTAGCCCTATGGGTGATGCGCCCTTGCATTTTGCACTGAGTACTGAGGGATTTGCTACAATTCTACCATCTGACTTAAGTAACTGTGGCCCTTTGTACTTGTCTAAGGGAGAAACAGGGAATGCAAGTCACCATTCACTTTGGGAAAGACATACAGTTTTAAAAGAATTTAAGTACCAAAAGGTGTAGCTGTACCTAGCAGAAACTTCAAACCCATCTAGAGGCCCAGCTGCCACTCTCTGCTTCCTCAGCTCTTTTGCTGTTTCTGTCAGAATAAGTATGAGGCAAGTGGCTCCTGATCTCTCATCTTTGGAGGTCGTAAGGATTGAATTGAGGGAATAAGGGAAAAAAAGAAAAAAGCATTTACCATACTTTTGCAGAGTCAAGTAAAGGCATTGACAGTCTAGTCTTAGTCAGCAAATACCATAAAACAGAGAGTTGCTTTTGTAGTTCATATGTATGCTAATGTACCTTTACAAAAGTACTGGACTACACATCTGCAAACTCTAGTCTCATTAGAGCTGAATTAAATTGCAACAATTACATTATATAGCTCAAAGTAGAGACGTGTTTCATTTCACACTGCATTATTTATTTGTTTACCAGCTAGCAAGTAACAGAGAACTTGCAGATTCTGAAAAAGCATTCGTATCTTGCTAATTGAACCTGATTTCTGTTACTATGCAATAAAACTGTAAATGCACTTGGGATAGTTTAGATCCAACTTTTCTCAACAGTGCACACGGTAACATTTTGACTGTAGCAAGCTAGGGGCCAGTTAAGAGGAAGGCTACTCAGCCTTAAAAATAAAATTAGTTTTATTTCAAAGACAGTAGACCATTTGCTAGTGTTTCATCATATTCTATTAGTATAATTCTTTCCAACTTACTAAAGTGAAGAACTTGTACAAAATACTGATTATTTTTGTTGTTGTTTTTATTTTTCCCCAACACATACTGATAATAACACTTCAAGTATCATCCTATCTGTGCCAGAATTTGGATGTGGCAGTGGTTGAAAAATGGAAACAAAATTACAGTCCATGCAGTGATTTTAACTTTATTTTGGATAACGCATAGCCACATGAATCCTTGCATCTCCAGACTTCCCTTTTTAACCTCTGACTGTTCTCCTCCTCCCCTATAGTGGTGGCAATGGCTTTGTGATGAGGGCTGCCCTGTACTAGGTGGGTGTGCTACATGAGGCAAAGACCAGAGGAGCAGGTGAAGGCTTGTTACAACAAGGCAGCTAGGATGGGCTTTGTCCATAGGGTGAAGAACTGGACAGGAGGGGCTGAGAAGTACCGTGGGATGGTGCTACTTGGCTGCTGCCATTTGTGGTGCAGGGGTTGGGAGAACGAAGAACAGAAGTAGTGTATACAAGGAAGCACAGTGGAGTGTGTTGATGGTGGCCATGGAGAAATATGGTGCGTAGAGGCAAATACTACACAGCAGCACAGTGCTGTGTGTGCAGCAGTGGGTGCAGTAACCCTGAACAACCCTGGCTGTGAAGGCTGGGTACACAATGTAGGGGAGAGCACTGGGGTCTGCTGTGTGGCATGGGAGCAAAGGAGACTATTGTGGGTGCTGGCAATGGGGAGAGGACAGCGAAGTCCTGCTTTAAGGTGTAGACAGACTAAGGTATCTGAAAGTTTTATTTGACTCCCAGGAACAGGACAATTAAAGGTTTTGGATGCATCTAGGGACTGTAACATCAGTACGTAATGGATGATCAGTGAATGTATGGCCATGGGCACGACCTTGCCCTTGCCAGTGTCCCCTCAGTAGTGGCAAACTGTGACCTGGCAAAAAAGTATTTGCTATAAATGCTAAACTCTTTTCTAAACACAGCATCTGTCAGCAGCAGACAGGGATAAAGACTAGATGCCATTTGTGGAGTCAGGGCCTCTCTTCTGGCTGCTGGGTATAAAAAGTACTTGATAATGAGGTGTAATCTAACGTTATCCACCTAAAACTGGACAGAACAGGACAAGAAAATAATACTGGCTTAAAAGAATGGGCTTTTGTATGAATAGAAGAACTATTTTCTTGTCACAGTCCAGGTGAATTCCTGTTTTTTTACACTGGGGTGAAATAAAAACTTCAGAGCAGACAAGCAGATGCCCTGATGTGCGCTTTAACTTCTTCAGTAGAGTGACTGAGAGTTTGGGGATTTTTTTAATCTTGAAAAAAAAAATTTCTCCAAATACACCTGCCTTGTTCATTATCAT